TCTATCTATCTATCTATCTATCTATCTATCTATCTATCTATCTATCTATCTATCTATCTATCTATCTATAATATATAACTATTAATCTAGTTCTAGACTATGTCTATAATATATAACTATATTAATCTAGTTCTAGACTATGTCTAGAATATATAGTCAGTTTTAGAAAACTGTCAATTTAGTCTGATTTGTTTCTCCTGTTAATTTTACTGCTGTTAAAAATATTTGGAAGATTTTATTCTTGTACGTGCAAGATATAAGACAAAATTTTATATAGACACTTTTAGTTAAACTAGACATTTTTAATTAGGCTATTAAGTTAGCTATGGTATGGAATGAATTTTTCAAAGAATATTTAATTCTGTTACTATATATTTTATGTTAATAAAAGCTATATATTATATCTTATTTTTAGTATCAGTACCATTGTAATTATAAATATGCTTTGATTACGTATCTTAATGGAACGTATAATAAACAGCAACAGTACAGTATCACATTAAAATGTACCTAAACAGCACATTATGTATGTGCTATGCAAAATGAGTGTATGTGCATAAGTGTGTGTGTTTAAAAACTTACTTCCAGTTGGAATTAAATCTCTGTCAGGAATGAATAGTTTGTACCCATAATGCTTTTCAAGCATATCTGGTAAGATCTCAAGAGCAAATCGTTCTTCTTCCCCAGTTTCCTGATTCCATTGGTCAGGATCCACTTTGGTATATGACAAATAGGCATCATAATCTTTGTTATCTGTAAATATAAAGGCACAGAGAAGAGAGACAGATGAAAAAGAAATTTGTTTCATATTAATTTTCGTCTTCCTATTTTATATGTCCATGTAAATTATTCTGAAATATTTCTTAATTATTCTTCATCTTTTTTATTTGACCATATATTGCTGCTTGTGCTACATCTTCTCTATAACGTTTTCATGATCACAAAAGCCATTTGACTAGATTCTCATTTCAAACTGAAAACTAAATTTCCTTCTTCATTTCTCTACCTACAGCCTTCATAAGACATTTGCAATATTCATAGGAACTTCAGCATTTTAATCTTATAAAGATCCTAATGTATGTTAATGCAGTCAAGCAGACAACATCAAAAGTGACAGACACATGCCCATTTTAAACTACAGGAAAAATAATTAATTTTCACAATATGCCTTGGAAAAGTTCATAGGAGACATGCCAGAAATGTTTTTGTTTTTCAATAATACTGTATTTTCCCCTAAATGTTTATATTATAAAATAGAATAGATCTTGGAGGTCTCATAGTCCAGCCCCCTGCTCAAGTAGGAAACCCTAAACCATTTCAGACAAGTGGCTATCCAGTCTTTCTTAAAAACCTCCAAGGATGAAGCACCCACAACTTCTGAAGGCAAACTGTTCCACTGATTAATTGTTTTCACTGTTAGGAAGTTTCTCCTTAATTTCAAGTTGCATCTCTCCTTGATTAGTTTCCATCCATTCCTTAAATACTGGAATACTGCTATCAAAATACTGGAATACTGCTATATTTTATAGTCTACATTTAATAATGATATAGGCCTGTAGGTCTTTATCTGTGTCAGATCCGAATCTTATTTTGGAATTAGAATTATATTTGCTTCTGCCAAGGTATTTGGTATCTCGGCTTCTAGCAGTACTTCATTATAAACCTCTAGCATTGACAGACTCAATGTGTCTTGTAAATATTTATAAACTTCTGCAGGTAATCCATCTGGTCCTGGGGACTTATTGTTCTTTTGTCTTTTTATTGCCTCCATCAACTCCATAATCGTTATTCTTTCATTTAACATATTTTTAATGTTTCCAGGCACTTTTGGTAGTTTAGCTGTTGCTGCATCTTTTTAACACCCATCCATAAATCATTATTATTTTTTTGAAGAGATTTTTGGTTCCCCCCCCCCCCTGGACTTTTCCTTTTTTGAAAAGATTTCCTTTTCCCTCCCTCTATTCTGTTATAAGCTTTTAAAATATTATCTACTTGATTCCAACTTATCAGTCCTTTCCCTCCGTTATCTTTATTTTCTTGCATTTCACTTTGATTTTTATCTTCCACTGCTTCTTCTAATTTCTGATTTATTTCCCAAACATTTTGTTTCTCTTCCCCCGCCCCCCCCCAAAATTATTGCAGGCCTTCTACATTCAGTTCTTTATCTTTAGGCACTCCTCTTGTCTCCTTATTGTTCTTTATATTTTCATGCAGTAATGGGATCCAATTTTTTTTTTTACTACCGGTTCTGTGGGCGTGGCTTGGTGGGCATGGCAGGGGAAGGATACTGTAAAATCTCCAGTCAGAAGTAGTATTTTCTGGTTCCCAAACTACTCAAAATTTCCACTACCGGTTCTCCAGAACTGGTCAGAACTTGTTGAACATCACCTCTGGTTTCATACATGTTTTTAAGCATCAAAATTATTTCTTCATATCCCTCTATTATCCCCTGGTAATCCATTGTATTACAATTCAGTAAAAAAATTACTCAATATATCTCTGCAATTCCAACGACTCAATATTTAAATACTCCCACTGATCCAGTTATTAGTAAAACTATCATTCTCATAATTATATTTCCAAATCCCCTAAATTTATAATTTTTAAAATTCTTTAGTATTTTATATTCCCAATTGTTTATCTTCCCAATTGTCCAAATTTTAAAGTCTTATTTAATTTTCCTTCTTTTCTCTTTCCTTCTATCCCTTTTCTTCTTTGACCTTGTGTGATGTTCTGTCAGATAGTATTAATAGTCCACATCTAAATTAATCCACTGTATTTTCTCCAATCTTTGGAGTCCTCAGTCCAATAACCAATTTCGATAGTATTTAATTAATAACAATTTAGTTTATCTTTAAAATCTTCAAAAAGAAAGTGAAACTCACTCAGTAGTTCAAAATATCCAAATCACCTTCTGAGATAGAGTCAAGGTCAGACCACTTTCCCAGCTTTGTTTACTTTCTTCTATTAAGTGTATTAGACATTCCACACTTTCATTCAAGGATTTTACACTGTAGTACTTTTCTTCTACCAGTAGATGGAACTCCTTCCAAGTTCCAACATTAAACAGTATATCAAAAACAGCTGGTTTCCATATAAATCCCCAGGGGTTTAGAAGTAACAAATATAAAAGACAGTTCCTCCCAAGATTCACCTTCTTCTGACTAAGGCTTCCTGAGACAGTAACAATCACACGCTATTCCCCAAACCCTTTTTTAAAAATTTCAACAGCTGTGAATTATATGCATTCACCGCCTGTAATGGGTCCCAAACAGTTTATGAATAGTCCAACAAAAGTCTGCCACAGTCTTTCGGGATAAAGCTGAGAAGCACCCACCTTTATTTCCCTGCCAATGACTAAATTGTACAAGGCCAAACGGAGCACAAAGTCAACACAGAGTTTTAGATTTCAAACTGACCAGAACAAACAAAATTGCTTCCTGCAAAGTCTCACGTCCCTTTGCTCCTCCTTTATATATTACGGGATAGGCCAATCATCTCCAAACCTTACTCTTGAGTTGCCCCTTTTGTCTTAACTGTTCTTGCCTTCTGGTAGCTCTGTGCAAGCACACACTGGAAACAGGCTCCCCCTGTTTCTCTGCCTCACTGATATCAGATTCTGGAGGGTCTGGAGTCAGCACATAACTCTCAGATGGCCCTGGCCCCATCTCTGTGTCAGACGCAGATCCCTAGTCCGAGTCCTCCCCAGACTCCAGGACAGGCCCATGTTCCTTCCATTGTCCAATTCTGCTGTCAGCTCTGCAGGATGCAGGCGGACCAAAACATACCTTTCAAGTTGTTCAGCCAGGTTTTCTATATTTTAAACCTTCCTTTAAGCATTCTTTCACCTCTTTAAAATAGCATTTGTCAGTGTGTTCCCCCCACAATTACCCCTCCCCCCGTTGCTAATGACAGCCGAAAGAATTAAGCCTAGCAGTAGAGAAGATACAGTAGATAGGATAAGAGAGAGATAAATGAGATAGATAGCAGTTAGGGTAGCCAAAGAGATCTTGAGGCTGACATTCGGACCCCCCTAGAAAAAGGACACTAGTCCCTGTAAGAGAGAACAAAAATACGTTAAGCATTGCATACATTTCTATGGTTTATCAGGATACTTAGCATAAAAGTTCTTTAGCAGTTCAGGAGCTCTAATGTCTTTTTCGTTCACCCACTCAGCATGGGATGGGGGGAAATGTTTCCAGGCTACAAGATATTGAAGACGACCCCTCCATTTCCGAGAGTCCAAAATCTCTTTAATCTCAAAATGTTGTTCACTCTCAATCAACAATGGCACGGGGGGATCAGTCTGGGTCAGTTTCAATGTATAGGTATGTTCAGGTTTTAGCAGGCTAACGTGGAAAACCGGATGAATGCGATGAAGAGTTTTTGGTAGAGTCAACTGAACCGTCACAGGATTCACAATCCGCTCAATAGGGAAAGGCCCCACATACTTAGGACCCAACTTTTTTGATTTCTGAGTGGTCTGTAGATATTTAGTTGAGAGAAACACTTTGTCGCCTACTTGATATGACTTCTGTGGGGCTCTCTTCCTGTCTGCAAATTTCTTATGGGATTGGTGTGCCTCATCCAGAGCTTTACGAGCGACTGGCCAATTGAGTTGAAGTTGAGATATCCAGTCGTCCAATGACTGGACATTGGGTTTTTCACGAGGGAGTTCAGGTATGGGCACAAAATCTTGCCCCGTGGCCACTTTGAAGGGGGTAAAACCATTACTGCTGTGGACAGAATTGTTATATGCCACCTCCACAAAAGGCAGTAGATCCACCCAGTTGTCCTGCTGATAATTTATGTAACACCGGAGATATTGCTCTAACACCCCGTTAGTCCTCTCAAAGGCCCCATTAGTTTGGGGGTGGTGGGCGGAGCTTAAACCCTGGGTGGAGCCTATTAACTTCAAAAATTCCCTCCAGAAATTAGAGGTAAATTGAACCCCTCGATCAGAAACTACACGCTCAGGGACACCATGCAGTCTGTAGACATGTATAATGAACAATCTGGCTAATGACTTCGCCGAGGGAATCTTGGAGCAAGGTATGAAGTGTGCTTTTTTGGAAAACAAGTCGGTCACCACCCAGATGACTGTGTGCCCAGCACTCTCAGGTAAATCTACTATAAAGTCCATGGAGATTTCCTTCCAAGGAGCAGTTGGTCTGGCCACATTCTGCAACAGACCTGGTGGCTTACCAGGAGGTCTCTTGGCTGAGGCGCAGACTGGACAGCTTGCTACATAAGTTTCAATGTCTTTTTCAATGAGGGCCACCAGAACTGCCGCTTCACCAGGTGTAAGGTTTTCACGAAACCAAAGTGACCAGCTGCCTTGGAGTCATGAGTCTGTTGTAACACTTGGCTTCTCAAAGTTTGTGGTACATACAGCTTCGCACCCATCCAGGCTAAACCATCTCTAACGGTGCAGTTATTCGCATTCACCTGGAACCACTCATCTGTTTTCAAGGCCTCCTTAAATCGTTCCATCAAGTCATTGGACAGATCTGCCTCTTGTTTCTTCTTTTGCGCTCTGGTGACCACTGGTGCAGCCAGCTGTGTGATGGGCACAATCGGACTTATCACTTCTTTACGAACACTGCTGTATTGTGGCATTCTAGATAAAGCATCCGCCATAAAATTCTTTCCTCCTGGGATGTATTTCAGAGAGAAATTGAATCGCTTGAAATACTGAGCCCACCTAACTTTCTTAGGAGATAACTTCCGAGGCGTTTTTAAAGCCTCCAGAT